TCTAATCATCTTCCCAAACACAAAAATTTTAACCTACTAAAATAGTAAAAAATTAAAATAACCTACTAAAATAACACATTCCCAAACGAAGCCTATATAAGATCAGATTTATGAAGTGTATCTATTTACTATGAGTCTATGACATCGAAATAAAAGCATAAAGAAGTTATTGTCTAATCACCTCTGATTGAATCTTATTGGGTAGTTGCCAAGTATGACAATGGCAAAAATGATTCCAGTTTACGCTTTTGGTGTGAAAGCCAACACATCTTCATACTACAATAGTCATCAAGAAATTAGTCACCTTATAGAATATATAATCTTGTATAGTCATATCATTTCTTTTCCTTCCTTGTTTGATTGTTGGATTGAGCTAAATGATTTTCTTTTTGTTTATAAATAATTTCTTATCGATTGATTGAAAATAAAATAACAATAATAATAATTGAAATACAAGCTTTAATTTGATTTAGTTTATAGATATCGGATAGAGTGAGTGACCAATCCTCACCCCATCCTTTCCCCAAGGTGATGTAGCCTTAATAAATATAAATAAATAAATGAAGGCTCATAATAATATAGCAATTTTAAAAAATAATAATAATTTATGGGTCCATGAATATGGAATGCTTTGGGCCCTGAAGGCTCGATATCCCATAGCTTTCAATGAGATTGAAGCTTTCCCGAAAACAAAAGTGAATTACAAAATTACATATATTTAATAACTTTATCTAATATATGTTCATTACAATAAAATTGAATTTTTATGTATTGTAATGTATATTGTAAAAACTCTTTTACGACATGCAAACAAATGTCGCTATATGACATGTCGTAGAAAATTGAGCATCATTTACGACATGCAAGTAACATCGTAAAAAGTAATAGATTAAACATTAATGACATACTTTGTATATTGTATATAATTTTTTACGACATTTTTGTCATGCCATAAATCATCATATTTCCTATGGCATAATTTTGCATGCCGTAGAAGGTTATTTTTAATATGTTTATAACATACTTTGCATGCTGTATATAATATTTTACGACATTTTCTTGCATGTCATAAATCATCACACTTTTCACGACATAATTGTGTATGCCGTAAAAGGTCATTTTTAATATATTTATGACATACTTGTATGTCGTATATAATCTTTTATGACATTTTCTTGTATGTCATAAATCATTACACTTTTCATGACATAATTTTATATGCCGTAAAAGATTATTTTTAATATATATATATATATATAGAGAGAGAGAGAGAGAGAGAGAGAGAGCAAATTCAAAGTTTATTATATGAATAAACTCAATATATGAACATATGATATCATTGAAATCCCCATTTTAGTACTTGAAAAGCAAATTACAAGATCAAATCACAAATTATATGTACAAATAAAAGTAAAAAGATTATACACAACACAAGTCAGTCAAGTCTAATTCATTATTAGGAGTAGTAGAGAAAGGTAAAGAATCAATTAACTTGGCCACTACAGAAAGTCCCTGCCCCAATACCAATGGTAGGGATTCGAAGAGCAGATGTTGCAGTGGCAGAAGCAACAAGTGCAAGCACACATTTCAGAATAACAGAAAAGTACCCAGTTTCCTACAAAGCCAGGGCAAACTCAACAACCTACAGAAACCAAACCAATTTAGCATCACAACACTAAACTAAATTATACAAATTTGTGTGTTAGCATATTTGATTATATATGAAATTATGAAGTATTTATGTTTTTTTTTTTTCCAGCAAAAATTATGAAGTATTTATGTCATGTATGCATAGTAAGGAGAGATTTTGACTTTGACAACAATAGCAATATTCTTTCCCTTGAGGCCTAAATCCTCCAAGAACACTGATGGCTTGAGGAGTAAGCCCCACATGTCCTATCATTGCAATTCCAGCATGTATGCCCCTGCAACATTTATTATGTTTTTATTGTGCTCCCCTAATTCAACTTCAAAATATCAAATTCAACATCAATTCACTCCACACTAAACCACCAAAAAATCATAAGAATCTTGAAATGCAAGCGAAAATCAACACGTAAGAATCAAAAAACAAGAGCTAAAGAGAGAAGATACCGTGAAAACGTTCTTCGAAAAAGACTTCGACTGAAGTGATCGCGATGAGACAACCTGAATACATAATTTAAAAATTTTGTCATGACCAGAACTTACCAGTTAACAGAGCTTTGTAAGTAGCCCCCTTGAATCCCGCTTAACAGAGCTTTGTTTAGACCAACCACATCTTGTTCTACGCAACCAAGGTATTGACCATAAGTTACTGTTTAATTGGTAACACAACACAAACAGCTAAAAATAATTCCCTTCCCAAAGTGAAGATAATTCCTTATCCAATTAACATCTGTTTATTATTCACTTCACGCTCAAGTGAATAACAAAACGTTCAAAAGCATAAAGTTACAGACGAATTCCTTCAAATCATTAACAAAACGATGAGAAAAGTCAAAAACAAAGAACTTCTGTAACAAATCTCCCAAATAAGGTTGTAAAAAGTTGACAATTTAAATCTAATTAACAAACAAATTCTAAAAATTGCATAACAGTAGCTCAAAGACTACAAAAAAATTTCTTTATTATTTTAGATATGATTCATATGAACATATGTCAAATAAATAAAAGTATACATAGCCAAATTATCAAACTACACTATACAAATTCGTTAGATGAACAATTGTTTTATCATCAAACCTAAGATAGTAGTATGAAATCAACCACATACCAAGGATGATAACTAATGATATTCTTACATTTGTGAAACCCAATTATGTCTACTGATACTAGTGGTAAACCCGTGCTATGCACGGGATTGGTTCAATAATGTGTAAATTTTTTAATAATGCATTAATTTCTAAATTTACTCATAAAATTATAATCATAATGCATAGAGATCATTTTTTCAAATTTCTTAAGTGAAGACAATATTTCAAAACAAATATTCATAAAATATTTAAATCCAATTGAGTTATTTTTCTTAAAACAATAAACTTGATTTCTAACTAATGAAATAATATATATTAACAATAAATAAGATGTTTCTCAATAAACCTAATGTCTAAAGCATATATATGCTAAAAAAAACTAATAATAAACTAAATTTCATAAATCAAATCTATCTATATTTGATAAATTAAAACTCAATCGATGTCGCCCATCATGTCCAAATGTTCCAATAAGTACCTATAAAATAAAAAAGTGTTAACATTTTTTTGTTATCATTTTTTACATACAAACAAACTTTAAAAAAGAAAAAATAGATATATTACCTTATGAGGAGTGTTGATTTAATTGTCCTCATTTTTGGGTTGTTGCTTCACTTCACTCTCTTCACAACCATTATTTTGTTGTTGATGCTGCTGCTGTTCTTCCACTTTAATATTTTCATTACCAATGCGTTGCTCCACTTCATCCAATGCTTGTAAACAAATCATATCATTTTCAATTTCCTCCAACATAACTATCAATGCTCTCATGTCTGGAAAGTCCTTTTTAATTTTTTTATGAATTTCTTGAATAGGCCATGAGGTTGGAAGTGTGTTAACTATAGCATGAACTAATATTGCAATGTGGGGCTAAAAACCTTTTTTCCTAAGCTTATAAAGCACTTGCTCTTTATGTAATATATGCTCTCGTACCGTTAAATTTGGAGTCATCCGCGCTTGCTCAAGTTCAATCCATAGAGGATGAACATCACGCTCCTCCTCCATTAAAGCATCCATTAAGTCTGAGGCATCTTTGATTTCATGCTTGTGAAAAATTGTTTCCTTTACTTCATTCCAGCTCGATGGTAAAAGGTCTAATATTGTTTCCACCAATTTTTTTTCACTTATTTTTTTTCCTAATTTTTGCAATGCTCGACATATTTTGATTTTCCAATCAACAAAATTTTCTACCGGTAAACCCTATTTATGTGGTACAGTTTCAAATTCATTTATGGCATTTTGCATCACCAAATGATCACTACAACGCAAATTTAGAGGAGGCCGCATATTTATTTGCACAATGAATTTAACACATTTAACATACAATTACATAATGTTAGTCAAGTTGTTTTTAATAATAAACCACATTAATTATTATTTGAGTAAAATTTATAATGATTAAAAAAAGAAAGATACTTAATTATAAAATAAAATAATTGTATGAATTAAACATAGTATATGTACAGACAATTAAATTAAATATGAACATGTAAATTTCAAATGCAACATATGTTTTCATGTATGAAATTACTTATTTTAAACAATCAATATATGAAGCGAAATAATAAAACAATTGTTTCTAGGAAAATGAAACACATTTGAAACTCTTGAACAAAATTATTGATCAATGCCACTAAAAACTTCTATGTAAACTACATTTTTGGTGACATCATTCCGTATGCCTTGTTTATTAATAATCAACACCTTTAAGCCTGATGGGGAGGTGACACGTGATAGAGCTACATACAGCTGGCCATGAGAGAAGATTGGATTCGGAAGATAAAGGCCCACATTCTTCAAAGTTTGCCCTTGACTTTTATTTATTGTCATAGCGAATGCCAACTTTATTGGAAATTGCCTTCTTTTCATTGTAAAAGGAGCATGATTTTTGGAAGGTGTTAAAACAATACGTGAAAGTAGTACTTTCTCACCAACTCTAGACCCTGTAATAACTCTAGCTTCAATTACTCGATTTCCCATCTTATCAACAATTAATCGAGTGACATTGCATAATCCCATAGATTGGTTGACATTTCTTAGAAGCATTATTGGTGTTCTAACTTTCAACTGCAAACAATGATTTGGAAGTCCTGGTAAATTCAAAGAATGCAAAAGTTCAGGAGGGTTCATGTCTTGAACATTGCTCTCACTTTCTGTTGGACACAATTTATCGGCGCTGTTAAAAGTTTTCATCTCTCCAGGAAGCATCGAAAGCATAATAGAATTGATTTCATCAGCATCACTATTTTTAGGAGCTAAAATGCCTCATTCTTTTAAGTACGACATATCCTGATATTTATTTATGAAATCAGGATAGGTGGCATCGATTAACTGGTGCAAATCTCTTTCTCCATTTTTTATAACAAATTTTTCTGGTATCCGTATCCAATTAGGTTCATAGCCTTCACTAAATGAGCTTTCCATTATTTTCCCTTCACCAACCAATTTAATCCACTCTGCAAAGTCACGTAATTCATGACGCGTATGATTAGAAATATCTTGTGATGTAACACGCATATTTCTGGTAAGATGCAAAACTTGACAATGCTTCCAAATTGTTGACTTAGGTAATGAAGCTTCCACTGTTTGTTCACGCCTACCTCTAGGTACGACAGGCAATATTTGTCTAAAGTCACCACCAAGCACAAATAGTTTTCCACCAAAAACCCTATCCCCTGAACAATGTTCTGTATTTTTCAATATGTCCCTAAATGTACGATCAACAGCTTCAAAAGCATGACGACTAACCATTGGTGCTTCATCCCATATAATTAACGACGCCTTTTGAATTAACCTTGCCAAATTTGTCCCTTGATTTATTGAACAACATGATGAGTTATCAGGGTCAAGTGGAATCTTGAAACGAGAATGGGCAGTTCATCTCCCGGGTAAGAGCAAAGCTGCAATACCTGATGATGCAACAGAAAGAATGATCTTCTTATCGGATCAAAATTTTGCAATTAAAGTGCTCCATAAATATGTCTTTCCAGTTCCTCCACTACCATACACATGTAACGCCCTCAAAAACAAAACGTTAAAGCCCATCAACATAAACATGCATTGGTATAAAAGATAAACATTCTTCTATTCATCAGAGTAGTTCCTTACAAAAGTATTACATGTTAACAACAAAAGCAAATACCCTACGGGCTTACAGCTTTCCAAGTCAACACTTGGTTACAAAAAGAGAGTGCTAACTCAATACATATAAAACCCTTGGCTTGAATTTACATGTAATACACCAAAAGAAAATAAACAAAACAATCCGCCTGCCTCTAGCCTCCCAAGCTATGTTCTTGGAGGTGGCATGCTACCTGTACCTGAAAATGATGTCCCATAAAGGGTGAGCCACAGCCTAGTAGAGATATGCTAAACACAGTATGAGCAATGACTAAGACATTAGCAATTGATAAATGTTCAATTTTCATAAACCAATTCATAAACCATTTCATAAACCATTTCTTATCAATTTCACAATTTCTATCAACGGCTCAGAACCTGGCCAACCACTTATATGAGACAAAGACTCGTATTAAACATTTTCCATTTTACAATAGATGAACACACTGGTTATGTCAATATCTCAACAGATAAGCATACAAGCTGTATCCACATTTCAACAGATATGCATATTAGCTATATCAACACTTCCAATGACAAACATATGAGCTGTATCATCACTTCCAAAGATAAGCATATGAGCTGTATCAACACATTTTCTGACAAGCATATGAGCTGTATCAGTGGAGTCCATCCCCTATCTCCTCCCAAATAACATTCGGTTTAGAGGTCCATCCCCTATCTTCCCCTAAACCGTGGAGTACATCCCCTATCTCCTCCCACATACACAATGCATATATACACAAAGGTCATATACACAATCAATCAATACATAACGTTAATGTATTCTACCAACCGTCATACTCTATGACATATCCAATTGATTAGTTTTAGTTTGCCTAACCATCATGCATTGTCTACAACAATCAAAACTACCCTCCACCGGTAGCCCAAGCAATTATTTCTAAACAGATAATAAAAGCTCCAACAGATAAAATATCGATGTTTTCAAAAGTGGGTGATTAATGAATCTAACTCCACTATTCAACCGTATAATGAACCGATTTCATTATTTCCAACTCAATTCTATAAGTTTACAATTTTTCCAAATTAATTATGCCAATTAATTCATACAACAAACTAGGGATTTCTATCCCATTTCCCAATATTGACCCAATAGCCTAATATCAACAACCAACAACTATATCATCACTTTGAAACCCAAAATACAAGTTATGAGCCCAAAATCACAAAACCCTTTTTACACATTTTGAAACCCTAAGTCCCAAAATTTCCCAAGTTCAACACTTTATCAAAACAACTAAAAATCTAGGTCAAAGACCATAAGAGTGAGTAGGAATCCCTACCTCAAAAGATGACAACCAACGAAGAAGATGATGAAAACGAACTTGCTCCAAACCACGAGTTTCTCGGATCAAAAGATAGCCCTCGACGATCAACAACCTTTTTGCAAAGACCAAAGGTGAGGAAAACACCCTAGCTAGATCAATATCTAGAGAGAAGTCAAGTTTTTAGAGAGAGGAGCTCTCAAAATGGGTTTTAGAAAAAGTAGGAGAGAGAAAGGAAAGTAAAAAGTGATTTAAAATCACCCAGCGAATAACTCATATACGCATGACCCACTCGAGCGGAGAACACAACGCTCGAGCGCCAAGAACAAAAATCTGGACACGCTCGAGCGCAATCAGGCCCGCTCGAGCACCAAGACACAAGAATAAAGCACTTCCGCTCGAGCGCGAAAACCAGTCCGCTCGAGCGTAGATTTCCCCCTCCCAGAACTTATACCCAGAAAGTACTACCCGTTCGAGCGCCAACAAACCCGCTCGAGCGTAAAAATCACACCTGCAGAAGTTTTGCAGGGACACGAAAAACTGGGAGTGTGCAATCCCCGCTCGAGTGCAAGAAGACCCGCTCGAGCAGACCGCCTAAAAACTGGACAACAAGGAATTGAAACCAAGGCCTAACCAACCTGTAATAACCCTGCCCAAAACATCCTAAAACTCAATCAAGCGGAATTAAAGGACGACAACAAGATAAATACAACTACCAACTTCACGGAACCGAGTCCGGAATACAACAGAACAGTAAAGGGACAACCGGGATTGCTATAACACAAAAAAAAAGCCCCCATGATGAGTGGAATAAGCTTCCATTATGGTGTTAAACACTTTCAATTGGTCATCATTCAATCCCACATATAAAGATTCGAAAGATTGCATTTCTGAAATGCTATTGTAGTTCAATTCCTTCCATATGAGCCTATTAGTAACCATTTGACCTGATCGATATGATGGTAGTGGCATCGGAGGAAACTCTTTAAGAGACCTTCCATTCTGATTTAGTATGTGCTCAACTTCAAGCAATCCTAAATTTTTCAATTCACATTCTTCGAGACTTATGTTGCCATCCCCAATTTGCCTTTGTACCCTATTTTGTAAATCATGAGTAAGGTCAAACCAATGATTCTCCCACAATTCATATGCATTTGTAACCTCAGAAAACATTAGCATTGAGCAAAACATATTTCGCAGTTGAGCACCTGATGCCCATGTTGAGGCTTCTGTTAAAGCTGTGTCCTATTCATTATCATCGTCAAGTAAGCCAAGTGCAAGGCATGCAGATTTAAATGTTGGGTGCACAATGCCATTAACGGTTCTAATATCTTCATAACATTTTGCACCTCAAACCTTGGTAAGCAGCATACGTAAATAATGTCGTTCACCAGAATTAGGATGTGCATAATACAATCTACCTATGCATATTTGTTGTTGCCTCATTTTCCATTTCTTCTGTTTCTGGTTCCAAACCCATGAGCTAGGAAACTCTTCATATGTTAATGTATTTGCCTCTACATGATCTCTGTTTGCTTGAAACCACCTTGTAAACATTGTCTCGTGAACCCCCGGCTGATTAATAATTGACGGAATGTTATCTGTGTCTCTAAATAGAATAGATTGTTCCCCAGGTAGATGGTACTGCAACCGTTCAACTGAAGGGTATTTCTTTTGCAATTCAAACTCAAATATACACCAGCAACTTTCAATTGCGGAGATATATCGACAATCTAAGTATTGTTTTACCTCATCAGCCTCTCTATACCGACTTTGTCCATTGATGTTAAGTCGATTAACATTATCTTCAATTACAACCGTTGCACGATCAGGACCTTTATGTATGTACTTATATAAGTACTTGATCAATTTGATGTGTGCATAATGCTCAATATTGATATGGGCATTATACAGTACAATAAGATCACGGTTGTATGGAATAACCCATATGTTGTCAATTTCAAATCCATTAACCATGTATTTTTTCTTTGTATCCCTTCGTCTATAGATAGCAAATCCATTTTCATCAATACTCGTTTCACTGCAAAAATTCTTCGGATAATGTTTTGAACATTTTCTATTCACCATACAAGGGGCATTAGGGTTAGCATTGCCATAGGGACCATGTATCATGCACCTCATCACTGTTTGAAATGCTAATAGATCCTCATCCTTATCAGGAATTTCAGCACAAATTATATCATCAATTTCCTCTGGCGATTTTATCTTGTCATCTGCTGATAATGTCAAGATAATGTGCGAATGCGGTAATCCTCGCTTTTGAAATTCGATGACGTGAATATCTATTCAAGAAAAAATAATATTATTTGTTAACTTTAAACTAAATTTAACAAACCTAATTGACTAGTTCAAATAAAAACAAACCTGTAATTATTTTGCCAAAGAATTTTCGGTTCTTGAAATATGCCATCAGTTGTTTCAATATAATTCAAAAAACTCTTGCAAGTATATCCGATATATCCTCTGTGCGTCGATTTGGAATGCGCACTACCTCCTGTTAAATTTCTGACCAATTTGGGTTACATGCGAATGTGACAAAAAGGTCAGGAAATCCCATCTTTCGACATATTGCGATCGCATCTTGGTAATGCTGAACCATAATCGTGGGCCGCCTGTAAAAGATGATGGCAGTATAAATCTCCTAGCAATGGCTGATACATCACTGTCACCCACAGTCACAGCATTTTCTAAACCTCTGTACAAATCAATCCACAACACATTCTGTTTATGCCTACTGAAGTTTAGTCTATCTTGCTCAATAGCTGCATAACAATCAACAACAAATTGTTGGAACAAACGTCCCCCTTGCAATAGCGTTTTCCCTTCTCCAACTCGAAATTGAAGTCTAAATGCATAAAACTCTCTCATTGACACTCCTTCTCGTTTGTTGTTTGTACCCAGAGTAAAACTTATAGACCTTCTCCATTCATCAATCCCATAGGGAAAAAGTAATAGATATTGAAGTGGCATGTATGAAGGATGTGTTTCATTAATCCTTTGAAAATGTCCATCTAATTTTCTAACAATTATGTCACGATTTGTAGTGCTTTCAGACCCATCACCAACAATTAATGCAGCAATTTCAGTTGTAGTGGGTCTAGTGTACTGTCTCCCATCCCTCGAACTCAAAATGCGAATATGCAATTCTTGAGCACCATTCTCACGAATCATGTCTCGAGCAGTGCGAAAAATTGATACATATGGATTGATGACATTCAACATTGACTGTAAACCTTCTAATGTGGACGTATCAATTCCCGATGTGCCACCACACCTATTCATAACGTCCATTCTCTTGTGAATTTCATGCTCAGTGTCATAAATATAGAGTTGTGCAAATTTAGGCCTTGTTTCAGGTTCCAGTAGTAAAGAACCAATTTTATGAAAATTTGCTCCACTAATACGAAAAACATAAGGACCCCTTCCATCTAACACTGACTGATCAATTTTCCCACCTATGGACGTGAAGGATAATAGGGAGTTATATGTCCTTATGTGTTCCCTGAATCTCACATGAGTAAACTGTTGTAGTAAAAATTCAGGAGTTTCTGGCAATAAAGGCAACATCACTTGTCCACTTTGACAACATAGACTAAATTTTGGTCGACTCAATGGACTATCTCTTACTTTTTCCTCCATCCACATCATTGCTTGACATCTAGAGCATGTTACTGTTCTTCCACCAAAGTTTGAGCGATCAGAAATTTTTCTCCTTCTAGAACGTGTGGTAAATGTACTACCTGAAATTATTTAGATTTAGATTATAATTATGAATTTCTATTGTCTGTAAGAAATTTGTATAGAGTACATAGTTGGCTAAATGTTTATTACCAGGTGGATGTGCTCTACTTGAAGTTGGTGGTACAATATTAGGAGCTCGCACTTCTGATTCATTTGTAACTAATTCATTAGATATAGGAATCTAAATTCCAACATGACTAACATCAGGAGCATTGTCATTATTGCGACTCCATGTTTGTCTGAAAGCACCACGTTGCATTCTTTTGAGTCTCAAGGCTGTGATCCTCAAATGTCGATTCTCCTTTTCTATTTTCCGAATGCGATCCTTTAATGTAGGATCATTACGATCATATCGTGTTAAAAGTAATCTTCTTCTTGCCACCAGTCGTGCCAACTTGGAGGAAAGATATTTTCGATATCGATTTTCATATTCTTTATCAACACCTAATATATAATATAAGATCATATTATTATTTTTGTGATTCTTAAAAGATTATTGAAAATGTGAAGGTCTCACTAATAAGATTGTAAGAAAATTTGAAATGTAACATTATTGTGTAGAAGTCAATAGATTACCACTATGATGGGCACTACTTCGTAATCTTTTTAAACACAAAACGAGGGTTCTCAAACGTTGAGCCTCCTTTTCTATATTGAGAAGACGAATCTTCAAGGTTGGATCATTACGATCAGAATGCCGTGTCAAAAGCAATCTTCTTTTGGCTACCAATCGAGCCATCTTGGACTTAAGTCGTGTTTGATTAATTTCTCGATTAAAAATCATATCCATCCTGAATAGAGTATTAAGTTGAAGCTTATATAACTCATGCTATTAGTTTATAGTATAGATAATGACTTAAGGATGTGTAACATATGACTTTCATATTAAAAACATGATAATCTATAATTGTTTGTAGTTAATTTTACACACTAAAATGATTAACTCCTACATGATAACATCTACTGTAGAATCCATATAAATAGAATGTATCAAAGATCTAAAATCATGCAGGTTATATATTTATTATATATGTAGATATGATAGTCAGTAATTGTTTCTAGTCATATTAAAATCTGCTAAAAAAATCCACAAACATGGTAGTCTATAATTGTTTGTAGTTAATTTTGCACATCGAAATTATCAACTCCTACATGATAACATTTGCTATAGAATTCATAAAAATAGTATGTAACCAAAGATCTAAAAATTTGTAATTCAATTTCAAACCTGGAAATGTCAAATGGTTAACCAATTGTTGCTGATTTATCTGGAATTTACCTTAAGTTTGCTTGTCTTATTCTTCAATAGAATTCAAACTGGAATACAAAAGATAAAGAATACAAAATCTCAATAAGTACCATTTTTTGTTGTAAGTACATAAAAAAAAATTAAAAATCTATTATACAACATGGATCTACTGAGCAGCTAATGTAATTATTTGTAAAGAAATTATTATACAATAGTTTTATAGTAAGCAAAGATAACGTAATCAAATTATTGTTATACATGGGAAAAAAAAACACAAAGGAAAAAGAGGATTTATTTTGATTTATTGTTAGATTTTTTTTGAAGATTTTGTAAATTACAAAATAAACACAAAGCGGTGTCTTTTTGTGGATGGTAGGAATAAAAATTGTGGGTTTTTTTTTTTTAAAAAAAAATAACGTGATAATCTAAGGTGGTAGAATTTTTATTGTAGGAATAAAAATTGTGTATTTTTTTATTAATTTATTTAATTGAGAGTGGGATTTATTTAATTGATTTAAGTTATAGATATTACTAAATTTTATGTGATAGACGTCTGATTCAATGAATTGTGGGTGTTGGATATGCATGAGTAAATTGTAGGAATAAAAATTGTAGGCTTTTTTTTTTTTTTAAATAACGTGATAATCTAAGATGGTAGAATTTTCATTTCAAAACATAATATTTCTGATTTTCAAACCAAGTATGTACATATATATTTTGGATTTTGTAAAACAAAATAAAACATGAAAGATTAAAGATTAAATTTTGATTGGAACACTCATAGTACCATCCACAGTAGCACCGTTATAAACCATTTCATACCATATCTCAAAGTAAGACATGTAAAAAAAAAAAAAAAAAAAGGAACAATACTACAACCAAAAGAATTTATATGAACACAATTTAAATTACAATTTGTCAAAAATCGAATGTATATGAACACTATTTAAATTCCTAATGCAAATCAAACCCATACTTTTCCCAATAAATACAAAAATGTGTCTTTGTGCAAGTGTATTCAAGGTATTTCAATAATAAAAGTACACCATTAATGAGAAGAAATATTGAATCTGCAAAATTGGGCTTCAAAGTTGTTTGGGTTGAAATTCTCTTAAAACTTAAAAGATTTGTAGTTTCAAAATCTGCAACTTCAGCAGCCCGTGATTACTGATGCTGTTATGATCTTTATGAAGAAAAAGTCTATTGTGTGGTCAATTACTACTCTGCTCACCATTTTCATAGAGATAATTAATAAGGTAGTAGATATGATTTGGGCTTTTCATGTGGGTATATTTTAATATAAATAAACAAAAATGACAAATAAATCTGCAGAATTGGGCTTGAAAGTTGTTTGTGTTGAAATTCTCTTAAAACTTAAAAGATATCCTCTGTAAAAATAAAATAAAATAAAAATTCAAATATAAGATATATAAATCCCACCGTATATAATATCTAATTTAACCCATTATATCGAAAATCAAACGGGCCTAAAAGAAAACACAAAAAATAAATGAGTTTAACTTTTTCACGACTCAGTTGTAAAACACTGATTTACGAAAAGCCAACTGAAAGGTTCCACATCAACATTTTATTGAATTTTATAAAAGTTTTACATCCATTACCATACACTCACCTTTATGTGATCACTCCTCTCTTCCTCTTTCACACATTCATCTCTATCGCTCCCGTTCTCTCTTTTCTAACTCCATCATCGAGGGCTACCGCCATTACCTTGGCATATTTGGATAGCAAAATTAACTTTTAACTTATTTTACATCATATTATTTTTAATATTTTTTGCATATTTTCAAAATCTGCAGTGGCTTTTCAAAATAAAAACAAAAACAGAGACATGGAGATTACAATACCGAGACTTGCATTCGATGGCCTACTGTGGATTGCTGCCGTTCACTGTTGATGAAGCAAGTTGATGTAGTGGATTGTTAGAAGTAATGGTTTGAGGGACTGAAAGTGTTTGAGGGTATGAGAGATTTGTAATGGTGTTTGAGGGTAGGAGAGATTTGTTTGAGGTGGGAGAGTAACAGATTTGTTTGGATA